TTTTATTTTTAATATAAATTATAATAAAAAAATATATTTAATATATTCTTTAACTGTTTTAAATATAAATTTTAAAAAACTCTTTCTTAATCCAGTTTTCTTTGTTTTACGGCTGTAGCACGTGGAGAGTTCTTTTTTCCAGCTAACCAAACTGCTTGTATGCTTTCAAGCTCCTTTCATAATTTAATTCTTTTAATTTCTTTTCATTTTCGATAATTTTTTAAAAAAATTATTGACTAAACTCTTCAATCAATACTAATTGCAAATGTACATTTTAGCCTCTTAATGGGAAGGACCACTTGGACTACGATTTTGCAGTATATGATTTCAGAAAAATCAAAGCAAATTATTTTAAAGAATTGGAAGTTCAGGAGCATACCTTAATACTGATGTCTGGTCACAAGGAAACCAAGTCTCTCTAGTTGCACAATTTGGCTTGTTCTCTATCGAAGAAAACTCACATGACCTGTTTACTGAGAAAAGAATTAAAGAAAGAAAAATGAAAATTATGTAAGCTCTTGTCTTCAAAAGAAACAAATTGTAATTCTTTGCTGTCTAAAAGAATAAAGAAAAGAGGTAACAAAAATAGCCTAATTAAGTTTCAGGCAGCAGTTCAGAATGCAGTGAAGCCATTAAGGGAAATATGCAATAGCCAACACAATCCCCTAGTGAGGAGCTTGTGTCAACAGTGATGTAAATTAAAAAAAAATACAGCACTCTGGGACGGATCAAATACAAGTTCCTAATACCTTCTTTGCTTCAGATAACTATGCTTACCATATAGTGATGTATAGACCTCAACCACATCAAACATCGAGGTCCTTTTATTGTAATGAATACAATTGTGTTTTTATAATCTTTTAGAACATTAACTGCTTTGTAAATCCACCAGCATCCAATTCTTCCAAGCTTTGCAACTACTCCAGGCTTTTTTGATATAATGTTCTCTCATTAAAGGCACTCCTTTGCAAAACTCTCAGCTTGGCTGCAGAAAACATTTGATTAACAGCATTCTCTATTCTCTTCTTAATCTGGTTGTGTGTTGTAACTGTTGTTTACCCAAATTGTTGAAGCAGAATCAAGGGTACCATCAACAGCTTCTGTAGGCAGGTCAGAAGGCTTCGAAGATCACACTGCCTCTTTAGCTATTACCATTTTCTGCGGCCAATAGAACTCCTCTTTGAAAGGATCTTCCACTAGTCCTTTCTCCTGCAGCAGACAACCTGAGATGTTATTGTAGCTTGAGCAAACTAACATACGAATATGTAGTGTGTCCAGTAGTATAATTCTAACATCTACCAGCAGATGAAATGCTTTTAACAAAAACATTATATGATTAGAGAAAATAACAAATAATGATGGATATCAAAGTGACCATGGCGAATAAAGCATTTGGTAAGAAATTTCACCTTCAAATATGATGGACATCTGTTTATAAGAGAAAAGGTCTTGCCTCATTTAGCACCTGGAAGGTGAAATTTATTTGTAAGATTCTCACACTACATTTAGGCAATTTCTGATATTGTGAAAGATATCTACATACCATAATATAACATGAGCCACAACCATTTGTTGAAAACTCATCATGACGAAAAAGGGATTTAACAACAGCATATTATACCTTCATCACATTATAATGGTTTCTTTTCTGGTTCTCTTCTAAACTCAAACTAAACTTCTTGCTAAAATCATAAGTAACAGACCTAATCACTTCATTCTTAAACTTATTATAGGCTTTGTTCCACTGTTCTTTTAAACAATGAAAAGCTCAATCAGATAAGCATCACAAGAAGGCATCTATTTTGCTTTTAGCTGGCCAAGGATTCATTCCTGTGTGGGATGCATCTGGCCTCTCTCTCCATTATCAATCGGGAACATACGCAGTCAAGATAATGAAAATATCTATAATCGATGACAAACAGCTGATATAAAACAAGAAACAACTTATTTAAGGTAGACAATATTAAGATCAAAAAATTGCAGTGATGGTTTATGTTTTCTTAAGTTAAGTCATCATCTTCCATGGTTAAGACAAAGATGCTAAAAATTGATTTAAAAAGCTGAAAACTGATTTTAACAGCCATATAGAGGGTAGCAGCTCTGCACTCTGTAGAGAGCAGCATGACCAAAAATTGTTATAGCAGAGAATGCATTCATCCATCTAAAAGCCTACAAAAGGAAGGTTATTCCGGTTAATGCATTCATTGACCAACTTCCCCTTCCTAGAAGACACTTGATAAAGCCCAATCTTCCTAACATTAGTAATCAATCCTCATCCATAAACAGGTTTTACACAAAACTTCTGTAAACACCCAATTCTCATACTTTCTTTTATTATCCTGATTTCTTCTCCAAACTAACAGGTAAAGAAACCCGCAAATCAAAACACCAAAGCACTCACTAATTTATGATATCCAAGCCCAATTAACATTCCAAGTTTCCAACTTTAACATAAAAATCATCAGCCACCATTTGCAAAAAATAAATAAATAAATAAATAAATATTCCCAGTACCATTGATACCTGATAAGTAAAAATCTTTTAAAAATAAACATCTACATATAAATTGTACATTTATTTATTTAATCTAAATTTACCTAACAGCATCAAAAACAAAAACATATCAACAGGAAAATGTGTAAAACTAAAAACCCAGCAAAATTTGTCCTAGCCCTATTTAGCTCTATTTACCTTTTCTCCTGGCTGAATCAGTTGAATAATAAAGGCACAATTTTTAGGTCCAAATGGATTTTCTTCTCTTTTTTCCCGCAATTTTCTTAGCAACCAAACAGTAGGGTACTGAGTAGAACAAGAATTGCGCCGAGAAACGCCGAGAAACGGAAGAGTAGAAGTAATTCACAGACGGAGCATGGTGCGCGGTATACCGTTATAAATGGAGACGTTCCATTGGGATGCAATCGCCGATTGCCACGCCAGAAGTGATCAGGTGATCTTAGCCGTTCAAACGCCAGACTTTTCTAGCATCTGACTTGGGCCGCCTTCATGAATTGTGGACTGAAATATTTTGGGTCTTTGATCCAGTCCATTTGTCCATTGGGTCTTTGATCCAGTTCATCTGTCCATGAATATATATATATATATACATTAATTTTTTTCCATTAAAGTTGAAATTTTTCAAAGAGAAAAGAGGCCTTTACTTGCAGCACGAGACTTGTAAAAAGCCAAGACATAGCCAAAAAGATGGATTAAAATTCAAATGTTCTATGGACACTGCAGCTTTCTTTGGGTAAAGATTGGGGCATAAAAGTAGGACAAAATTTCTTTTAGTCTAGGATTCTCTGGTCCTCAAAATTGCCCACAGTATGGAAGCCAAAAAGAAAACCCAACATCATTTTGTTTGTTATGATAGTCTGCTTCAAATCAATATGATTGATTGATCTGGAAAATTAGAGCAACCAAATCCCCTTTTAGAGGACCAACTTACATTATGCACACTTCAAAGTCCTATATCAATTGATGTATTTAAGAAAATTCAATTTATTTAAATGCTAGTTTAAATTCTAAATTTTAAAAACTGTATTGGATTGGATCTAATGTATGAACTATGAAGTGAAACAAGAATTGGTTATTAACTAATCTAAACTTAAGATTTAAATGCAAGTTTCTAATTCCTTTCCTCCTGTTCTGCCAAAATAAGCAAAAGGTACTTTCGATCAGCACCCAAAAGACCCAACAAAAAAAGAAAGAAAGAAAAACTTTTATTATGAAAGAAGAGACAGTACTATAACTTAAGCCTACAACCCTCTTAAGTATTCGGCCAAAAAAAAAAACCTCTTAAGTAAATCTTTCACTAAATTTAGCATCACATTGTATGTGGAGTTTTAAAACATGATAAGATACATTCTCTTAATTGGCCTTTACATCATTGAGAGTAGATTTGCAACACATTATTATGATTGTTGAGTGTGGTGCAAAAGCCAATTTAAATTCAATTTCCACAATAATTTGAGTGAATCATTGTTCATTATAATTTGACTTAAAATGATCTATTGCAGCTTCATCCCATCCCCAATTTGGTGGGACTGAGGAGACCTAGCGTGCTAAAGCTCATTGTCATGTTGGGTATTTTTGGAAGGGTTTGTTGCCTTTGTGTTTATTATGCATAATTAAGGTTGAAACATATCGTTTGTAAGATCTAATTCTAATCCACCATTTCTTATTAGAGAGAATTATCACCAAAAAATTCAATGATTTTACCTTCCCCCCAATGGTCCCAATACCCTAATCACTCCAGATATAATTCAAGGGGACAATATTTAACAAATTTGGCATGCATTGCCCATCTTTATCAACACTACATTAAACCATTTCAAAAGATTACATCTTTGTCTGTGTAGTAGCTTAAGTATAGATCATATATCATTTAATTATGATGAGAAACTAGAGTTGTTAGGTAGAGATTAAACTAATTTGGGCTTAAGTTTACAATTGAATTGATTCTCAATTACTTCTTTTTTTTTTTGGCTATACTACTTTTTATTTGATATAAACAAGTTTTATTCATGTATTCAATATTCAAATCTTGATTGTTCTCATCTTATTCAAATTTATTTGATCGATCATACTTATGCTAATTTCATGGATTATAAGTTACTATTATTCTTAGCCCTTTACCTAACAGCTTAAGCTTTAGCTGCATTCGCACTCAATGAAAGACTTATAGAGTTACTACTAGCTAGTTGGCTGAAGAAGGACAAAGATTATGCCATGTGAAGACTGAAGAAGAAGGCAGCAATATGGACCTAAGAGTAGTCAAGGAGACAGAGCTAACAGGGAATGTTTCTGGTCCCATTACGTAGAAAGGCAACCCCATCAAGGAGTGGCTGTGGTGCCCAACAAAGCCCCATCAATATGTTGCCCCTGCACCTAAACAAAAAGCTTTTTCCTATACTGAAACTCTAACTCATTCTTTTTCTTAATCATACCTCCACTATATAGATCGATGGGGTTCTCTTCCTCATTGATTTATAAGAAGACAAACTCATTATGGTTAATCATCATCAATTTAAGGCCTTGTTTGGTTAGCAAACTATATGTAGTTACCAATCTATTTGGGTTTTGTATTCAAATTCAAAACATAAAAGGAGGTTTCTTTTTTTTGCCTCCAATATTTTCATAAATTAATACAAAAAGAAACAAGATTTCTTCACCCCTAATAGTAGAAGAGGTGTGAAGAGACTTTGATATATAATAAGAGATAGTTTTTTTACAAAATTTCAATATTTATAGATTTTAAAGTAAAATGAATTGAATTTTGTACAACTAATTCTTTGTTTTGAATTTTTAAGATCAACTCTTACAAGAAAGGAATGAGACGTTGAAGGTATAGAAAACTCTGTAGTCTATATCCAATTAACATTAGTGAAATTTTATTAAGACTAGAAAAGGAGATGATGTTTCCAAGGGCATATGTAAATGACCAATGTGAATAATACCAAAATGGAAGAATATAAAATTTGAGGGTAAAAATATCGATAATAATGTAAGGGTGAATCCATGTGAGGAAGAAAAATTTTGGGGTTTGAGGATTCTCGAGTCCACAAAGCCATTGCGCATTGCCCATGTGATAAAAGCAGCTTTGCCCTCTCTTCATCTTGTAAAGCGACCACGCCCGTTTGGCTGCAATCATGCGGTCTACTTTGTTATAATTTCCCTTCACTTCTTCCCTTGCTTATTCTCTCTTTTTTAATTTTTTGTTCCCCCTATGTACCTTGTTCCCCTACAAATTATTTCACAAATAGGATTTGCATTCTTTTTTTCTTTTTTTACCCAAAACTATGCTTTTACAAATTGCAATTAAGTCAAAAACAATGGGAGAGCCAAAGGAGTGTTGTTTGATTTTACATTAAGTTGCATTGAAAGGAACCCATTTCCCAGTCACCCTATTCTTCTTCATATAATTTCATAAATAATTTTTGTTAACTTTTTTATCAAACTAAATGTTTGGAGAATTAACTTACAAAAATCTAATTGAATCAATACTCATTAACTTAAAAACATTGATTTAAATTTAAGATTAAGAGTTTAAACCTCTAAAATGTTAAATAAATAACTCTAAATGTACCCTCAAAAAAAAAAAGAAGTAACAGAGGCATAGAGCACCAATTAAAGCCCTCAAACGGGTTTATGAAATATTTATAAGTTTTAGGGACTATTATTATTATTATTTATTTTGTTTGGACTTATAGTTATGCACCCTAAAAATAGCAACCTTACAAACTTCTAACTTTATTAAAATGGATTTCCACAAAAATAAAAATTTGCTGGTGGAATTTTAAAATGGGTAAGGGGGCTTAAAATTTGAGATTATATGTTTTTTAAGGTAGAAATTGCAATTTTAAAAAAAATGAAAATCAATAAAACGTGATGTTAATTTTCTACTATAATGATGAAAAATGAAAATTAGATTAGATAGAAAGACAAATGTAATTATAAGCTCGGGAAGCGGGGAGACCCGCTCGTGCGGACAACCCATTCACGCTCTCTACTAATGGTCCTAATTTAATTAAACCATTAATGAAACAATAAATAATTTTAATTACAAAAAGGGGCTCGAAAACCCCGAGGATTTCGTCAATGCCCTCAAAAAGATAAATTTCTTTAATTAAGTTCCAAATGCTGGATTTACTCGCTTCCCCAAGCACACCCCTCTCTAAAATACCTTTCAAACACAGCCTTTCCCCCCCTCCCTTCGAGAACCTCTCCCCTGTCCCTCTGTATATATATACCTCTCCATCCATCTCCCTCTCTTCACCTTCACACCTTCCTCTGTTCTTCCTAGGAAAAACTTTGTCACATCTTAGACCCATTTCCCACAATTAGAGGGGGGGAAAAAAAGGAAAGAGAGATCATGGCGACGGATAAAGTAGTGGAGACTGTGATAGTAGGAAATTATGTAGAAATGGAGACAGAAGGGAAGCCTAAGGACATGAAATCCAAGCTTTCTAAGTTTTTCTGGCATGGTGGCTCTGCTTATGATGCTTGGTTTAGCTGCGCTTCAAACCAGGTAGTTTTATAGAACAACCTTTAAAAACGTTTTTATCTTCTTGTTTAGCTATTGTAGCGGTTTGAACTTCTGATTTTAACTTTAGAATTAAGGTTTTGAAGTCAAGTGAATGCTATTAACTCAACTAAGTTCTTGTTATGGTAAAATATCAACTCGGTGAAGCGTTTGTATTTTGTTTCTAGCTTGGTTTTCTATGAAACAGTTTCACTAATGTTTTTTCTTGGTGGGTTTTTCAGGTGGCTCAAGTGTTGCTTACATTGCCATACTCATTTTCTCAGCTGGGGATGCTATCAGGAATACTGTTTCAGCTTTTCTATGGGTTGATGGGTAGCTGGACGGCATATCTCATAAGCATACTCTATGTAGAATACAGAACAAGAAAAGAAAGAGAAAAAGTTGATTTCAGGAACCATGTCATCCAGGTCTCACACTTTACCCCCAAAATCTTTCAAACTATACTTCCAAAATCTCATATGGGTTTCTCACCTTTTCCTCTGTTTTTTTAATCCCCTGCACCACCAGTGGTTTGAAGTCCTTGATGGCTTGCTCGGAAAACACTGGAGGAACGTGGGTTTGGCATTTAACTGCACTTTTCTTCTGTTTGGATCTGTCATTCAACTCATAGCTTGTGCAAGGTACCAAATTTTTTAAATCCCATTTCTCCAAATAAAGAAAGCAAATCACATGACTATTCTTTCTTAGGCATCTTTTAAATTTCAATGTTGCAGCAATATATATTACATAAATGATAATCTGGACAAGAGAACTTGGACATACATCTTCGGAGCGTGTTGTGCCACCACAGTCTTTATTCCATCATTTCACAATTACAGAATCTGGTCTTTTCTTGGTCTCGTAATGACCACCTACACTGCTTGGTATCTCACCATTGCATCCCTACTCCATGGCCAGGTATTTTCATTTTCTTGACCATTTTCCCTCTTACATGACACGACCCCCCCACATGTTTAGTCGGAAAAACCAGTCGAAACAAATTCCAAGTTGTCGCATTCATTGGCTGTCAACCTGATTAAGATATGTTTGATTATATGTCCAGGTTGAAGGGGTAAAGCATTCTGGACCGACCAAGCTGGTGCTATATTTCACAGGGGCCACAAACATTCTCTACACATTTGGGGGACACGCTGTTACGGTGTAAGACAAGCTTAGATTTATAATTCTTGTCCTCTACGTTATCTTACAAATAATTCCTTGTTTCTTTTTCTGATTTCAATTATTAAGGAATAAATTGCAGAAATAATACATCATTGGGACCAAACCTTCTCTTCTTTAGACATGATCTGACCATCAGAATCCAATGGCTTATATTTGACACGAGAAATTTCATTCCCTTATTGGTCTTCTCAAGCGTGGGAGACAAAAAAGTTCTTCCTTTTTTCAAGCATGTAGAAAGCCAATGAGCTTTTTTTAAGTTCTGCGTTTCGCTTTTATCATCATAAGAAAAGGCCAAGACTAAGAGAGGGGTCCAGTTTTTCAGCCTGGTTGGTTTGTTGGACCACAGCCCATAAATAAACCCCCAAATTAGCCTATTTATAATGGGATTTATTTTATTGGATTAATGACTTTATGATGGCCTTGGTGGGTACAGGTTCCCATTTATTTCGTCTAAGACTCTGTATTAGAGATTTAACATTTAAAATTTTAACATATATAAAGAGGGATTCGAAAAAGGAAACGAACTATCAGCCATTGCATAACTCGTTAAGAAAAAATAATAAATTTAGTGCACGACACATTGTCCTTACCACTAATGAGCATTTATTTTGACTGGCTATGCAGGGAGATTATGCACGCAATGTGGAAGCCACAGAAGTTCAAGGCCATATATTTGCTAGCGACCCTGTATGTTCTGACACTGACACTTCCTTCCGCAGCAGCTGTTTATTGGGCATTTGGGGACATGCTTCTCAATCACTCAAATGCCTTTGCTCTTCTTCCAAGATCTCCCCTCAGAGATATGGCTGTCATCCTAATGCTCATCCATCAGGCACACTCTCCACCCCTCCATAACATTCATAATCACCATCATTATTAATTAACATCATAATCTAATTACTTATCCATAATTGTGCAGTTTATTACATTTGGATTTGCATGCACACCGTTGTACTTTGTGTGGGAGAAAGCAATTGGGATGCATGAATGCAAAAGCCTATGCAAAAGAGCGGCGGCCAGGTTGCCGGTGGTCATCCCCATTTGGTTTTTGGCCATCATTTTCCCCTTCTTCGGACCCATCAACTCCACCGTTGGATCCCTTCTCGTCAGCTTCACCGTCTACATCATCCCCGCCTTGGCCCACATCTTCACCTTCAAATCCGCCACCGCAAGAGAGGTAATTAACACCACACCACCCCAAATGTTTCTAATTTAAGATCAATTTCTTAAGGATTGTATGGATTAATTGTTTATATAATTATTATATATATAATTAAACAACTCAATAAGTTAAATGCTTCACCATTAACTTTAAAAATTTAAGTTCAATTTGTTATAAATTCAATTTTTATTAATTACCAATAAATTTATTCTTTTCTTTTAAAATTTTCATGTTTAAAAAAATTAAAATTTTTTATATATAATTAATAATTAATAACTAATCTTAAATAATTAATAATTTTTATTATTTAAATTAAAAATTTTAA